AACACTTGCAAAGGTATGAAATAAAGTGACTAGTCATGTAGGAAAACAACTAAACAGCTGGGTAGCATGATTTAAAAACCAGTTGTTAATGTGGTCAGATCCCTGTTCCTTGGGAATAATTGGTGTCTGTTACTTTTCTCTCATTGCTGGGATGAAATATCCAACACCCAAAATTAAGGAAGGAAAGGTTTATTTAGCTCATAGTTAGTGGAGGTTTCATTCCGTGCTCTGCGAGCTCCAAGGCAGAGAGGCACATGGCAGAGGGCAGCATTAGATGGTGCGGAAAAACAGCAAAAAGTAAAGGGAGGAGCAGCTGCTATGGCAGCTAGCAAGCCTCTCTCCCTTCCCCACAGTGTATGCAGATTACCCAGCCCAAGGCAGATGTAGCACTCACACCCACAGTCTCAGCACTGGATCATGAAATAACCACAAGTACTAGAAGCCTTCCCCAGTGACTGTATGAGGCTTTAGGGGGACAACTAAGCACAAACCATAACAACTGGTCTTTCTGTTTCTGTTGTTTGACTTTTGGTTGACAATAAATCATTTACTGAAATCTTAGCATACAGGCAGTGTTCTCTATTACTCTCCCCATCTCATTCCTTGGCCTGAAGAGAGATCTCAGGATTAGCTCTGGGCTATGGGTACCAAGCCCCTGATCAGCCTACAAAAAAACAAATATTTTCTCCTAGCTTCCTGTTGTTCCTGTCAGAGGCAGAGCTCCTGAAGCCTTTTTTTTTTTTTTTTTTGGTCTCAGACTAGCTTTTTGGTGAGGCTACTCTCTAAGGGCAGGTTGCTGTCTAAGGTTGCAAAGAGGTTCCTCTCTTGAAACAAGGTTCCTATCTTAAGTGAGGTTCCTCCCTAATGTGAGATTCTTTCTGGTCTGAGGTAAAGTTCCTATCTGAAGTGAGGCTCCCATCTGATGTGAGAGTCCTATGTGATGTGAGGTTCCCACCTACCCCCAACTTCCTGTCTAAGGTTAACTTCCTCTTAGGCCAGCTTCCTCTCTGAGGTGAAATTCCTCTCTGATATAGTGTTACTCTATAAGCCAGGTCCCTGCCTGAAGAGAGGTTTCTCTCTGGCACCAGATTCCCCTCTGAGGTGAAATTACTGCCTGAGGTGGGGCTCCTCTTTGATTTGAGGTTCACTGTTTGAGGGGAGTGCATGGTTAGAATACCCAACATGGCCAAGATCAGTTATTTTGCCTATGACTTCTTCTTGCTAGTGAGTCAGCATATGTTATGTACCCTGCACATGTGCAATGAATATGTAAACAAGTGGTCTGTATTGTACAACTTTTGGGCAACTTGCTCAGTTTGTGTGGTATCACGTACAAGGGAATGGGATCCCATACTGCTGATATACTAAATGCATGCCAGACATTCCCAGAGCTTCTTGTCTTTTCTTTGCGCTACCAAAACCGTAAGTGAATCTTCCTGGCCTGGACTGATAGTGTAACAGTGAGATTCCTCTCTGATGTGAAGTTCCCATCTGAGGAGAAGTTCCTCTCTGAGGTGAAACTCCTGTCTGAGGTTGCCCTCTGTGAGACACTTTGAGAGAGACATCTGTCTCAGGCAAGGTTCCCTTCTGAAATTAGGCCCCTCTCTCAGATATAAGATTAAGGGTTCTGATTTGCACATCTAAGCCTACCATGTCCAACGCTACTAGAACCCCTAAAGAGGAAGTCCAAGATGGCTACACTATAGTTTAGGCTGTGAGGAGTGATTTCCAGGGGACAGTAGCCCTGAGTCAGCAGGACTCCAGAGTAAGCACATCTTGTGAGCTTGATGTAAATACTTATTTAACCAAGGTAGATACTGGCACATAGCTACTATTGTGTACTTTACTATAAATCTGGATTGAAATGAGGGCAGGTGGCTAAAGACTGTTGTGAGAGAATGTAGCAGTTAGATAAGGGAACAGCGAGGCAGCTGAAGACTGCTGTATGTGCAGCTAAATAAATGGGCCCGCAGCTGAGCTGCTAAGCAGCTGAATAAAAGCATTGTCTGCCTCTATAGATTTGATTTTTTAAGATTAAACTTCTTGGAAATAAGTCCGCAGTTGCAATTTGTCATTGCAGATAATTGAAGCACTCAGACATCAAGAAATCTTGACAAAGCAGTATTTTTAGGTTTTTACTTCTGCAAAAGGGTCCACAGCATCCTTAAAGTGAGGTAGCCAGCACACTGGGAAGTTAGCAGTAGGCTCATTTTATCCCTAACTCATGAGAAGCAGCTTGCCTTTCACCCCATTGGCTGAGTTAAAGGTTCACAGTCTATCCTGATTGGCTAGTTTAAGTGGTGTGAAAGGTGGGCCTGAGAAGTTTTGGGTCAGGGTTACTAAGGGAGGGAAGAGCAGGAGGAGGTGAGGTGTGTGGAACAGAAGGTCCTTGGCTACTGATAAGCTGCTTTGGTCTGTAGCAATGTTCCCAGAATTTAAACTGAGCAAGTGTTTCTCATATTTTCAGTGTCTTCAAAGGGGCTGCCTAGAGTCCACCTGTAGGCACTCCTGTTTATACCTTTTGAAAGAAAATACAGGACCTCAATTTCTCGTAGTTCCTCTCTCTCTCTCTCTCTCTCTCTCTCTCTCTCTCTCTCTCTCTCTCTCTCTCTCTCTTTCTTCCCCAGAACTGGGGATTGAACACGGGCCCTTGCACTTGCCAGGCAAGCGCTTATTCAATTCAGCTAACTCCCTGGCCCCTAATTCCTCCCATTTGTATGTTCATATTCTTCATATTTCTCAAACTCCATGAACCAAATTTTATTCTCTCTGTCATGTTCTTCCACGAAGAACATGTTAGCCAGATAAGGTGGGGGAGACTGGTAAGGGCAGACTCTAGGTAAAAATAAATAAACTTTAAGTATGTTTAACCAAATCATGATTATCAGAATGAGAAGGCAGATCAGGGAATAAGTCACATCCAGATACTTTTTTTTAAGGGATTGGAATAGCAATTGTAAGGTGAGACTGGTATTCATCAAAATTAACTTTTTTTTTTTGGCAAATATCAAGGTCAGCTAAAGTTTTGTAGGTGCTATTTGTGAAAGCATGTGAACAGCCTTTCTGCTCTTCTGTCAGTGTTAGCCACCAGGGTGGGTAACAGTTGTGCTTGACCATGTAGTTTCTTATGGAAGCATAGAAGACATTTCTCTCTTTGGTGACCTTTCTTTTTTAGCACACTGTAGCTTGGCTGATGCCTGTTCTTTGAATTTTGGCCAAAAGATGGGACAAGGATAAGTGTTTGTGGCCAAATGAAACAATAATATTTTAGCATCTGAGTTTTTTGTTCTTTGGGTGGGTTGCCACTCCAAGTCATTAATATCAGTCTGAGGGGACTATCAGGAGGTATTTTGTTCCCTGAGCCCCTTGATTCCTTCATCGGTTCTGCCTGGGAGGCATATTTTGTTTGTTTGTTTGTTTGTTTTCCCCAGCACTCAAGGCTCAATCCCTGGCATGCACTGAGATGTCTTGCCACTTATACAATTGCCCCCAGAATTCCCAGCAGACTGATTCCAGGACTACCAAACATATCAAATTCTGAAGACATTCAAGTTCCTTATATAAAATGCACAGTATTTGCATATAACTGAGGCACATCTTCCTGGATATTTTAAATATTCTCTAGATGACTTATTCTACCCATGCAGTATAAATGTAAACATTTGTTATAGTGTATTTCTTTATTGATTTGGTACCAATAAATAGTACCAAATAGTGTAATACTGTATTAAAGAAGAACAATAAAGTATCAAGCTATACATGTACAATATGGATGCAATTTTTAAATATTTTTAATCTGAGTTTGAATTCAAAATTAGAACCTTCAGATATAAAAAGTAACTGTATTCCACTATATTTGTATTCCCTAATATTTTATATATTTTGTTCCTGTCACAGAGGACATTTTGTTTTGTTACACTATCTGATTGTTTATTGCTAGTCCAAAGAAGAGCTACTGATTCATTTCTTAACTTATGAAAACAAGTCTTTAATAATAAAAATATTTATGGCTATATATTTTTCTCTGAATATACATTTATTCTGGGTCCCAGAAATTTGAGAATGAATTGTTTATATTTCACTGCTTTATTGTGTATACTTTTCCACCTGTCACTTTTTCATTTATTTATTTATTTATTTATTTATTTGTATTTAGTACAGGGTCTGCAGGGTCTCTCTACATAGATTGGACTCGTAGTGATCCTGTTTTCAGCCTCTCAAGTACTGGGATTACAGGTGCTGGGATTATAGGCGTATGCCACCACTCCCAGTCAATCGCCCTCTCAGCGCACCCCTGGGGTGGGGCTGGCACTGCCCACTGGGGATACTTTTTTATTTAAAGTTTATCTACTCAGTGTTTCTTAAATTCCAACAGGATTTTTTGTGCGAACTTTTTGTTATATATTTCCAGTTTTCATAGTTTAATAGGCCTTAATGAATGTTAAAATAGTTATACTCTTAGGGCTGGGGAAATAGCTCAGTAGAATAAGTGCTTGCCTGGCAAGTACCAGGGCTTGAGTTCAACCCCCGGTTCTGCAAAAAAAAAAAAAAAAAAAAAAAAAAAAAAATAGTCATACTCTTTATGTCCACTAGAATATAATTTTTGTAAATGTTTCATGGACATTCTCAAGAAAATGTAATATCCACAGAAGAAATTAGTTTTTCTATTAATTTGTCTAATAACTTAATCTCTTATTCCTTCCTAGGGATTAAAACCATGTCTCCCATATGCTAGCCCTGCCACTGAACCACATCCCCAGCTACTCTTACATCAAACTACAATCCATTCTCCCTGATTTGAACTAATACTGTCCTGAATTCGCTGCCACCATGTTCGTCGTACCGACCCACTAATGCTTGGATGCGCGGGCCTGGGACTAGCCGAGCCTTCGTCCTTAGGAGATGTACCACCGAGTCGCCCTGGCCTCCCGCCGTCTAGCGCGGCCGGGGCTCTGGGGGGCCGAGTGGGGGACTCGAGCCGGAAGTTGGAGGCGGGACTTCCGGGGTCGCCGCGCCAGGTTGAGGCAACTTGGTGCCGTGGCGCTTTGACTCTGCCGGCGGGACACCGCAGGAGGTGAGTTCGCCAGGCAAATCTGAGCCGGACCGCTCATCTGCAGGTCCGAGGCTCAGAAGTGGGGGCGACCCGGAGCCACGTTGGGGGGTGGGATGTGAGAGCTTCGGCGCGGGGATGGCGCCCCTCGGGGCCGTGTGGCGGGGCGTCTCGCGGAGGCACCTTGGAGGGCACAAGGCTGTGCCGGAGAAGTGCTGAGCGCGGCTGGCTGTGGCGTTAGTGACGTCTTACCAAAGGACACCGCAATAACTGACTCCCCTTTGGATGGGGGCGGGGAGACTTACTGACGGAGAAGCATTTGGGCACCTGGAGGGAGTAAGGCCTGAGGAATCGCGAGCAGGTATCCTGCGGTTCCTTCTGTGGAGGGTCGCTGCTGTGTCTTCAGTACAAGGCTCAGCCTTTGGAAAGGGGCATATGCTCTAGGCTCAGTCAAGCTATTGGCTGAATTCGTTGTCTTATTTCTTTGCTGCCTATCACTGCCAGGCAGAATGGCTCAGAGTTCTTGGAAGCTCTCTCACGTGGTCCGCATATTTGGGGAGTGACGTGGGCTTGTTAGATTTTTCTCAGGTTTTTAAGGGCTCCAACTAGTCCACCAGAGTAATCTGTGACTATATATATATATATTGGATAATGTGTTTGGTACAGGGTGTCACTATGCTGCTTGGCCTCGTAGTGATCTCCCTGTTCCAGCCTCCCCAGAGCTGGGATTACAGGTGTGCACCACCACACCCTGTCTCCATGGCCGATTCAGCGCGCCCTGGGAGTGGGACTGGCGGGGCATGTGGTACCCAAGTTCAAGCCAGGTCCCTGAACTTGCCAAAGCAGGCACTTAGTCTGCTGAGCAGTCTCACCGCTCCATGCCAATAACTTTAATTCCTTCTGCAAAGTACTTTATGTCATCTGGTGATATAGCACATCCACAGGGTCCAAAGATTGGGTCCACAGATGTGAAGGTGTGAGCTTTCTGCCTACCATAGAGTAAGTTTATGTTTTCTGGGTGACAGAATGAAGTGAGAAAAACAAGCTGTAAAACATACAGAGTTTAGCCCAATTTATAACTTAGAAAAAAGTTATATGTACATTTACATTTGTAAGCCTGGAATAATAACCAAGGGCCTGGCTGGCAGATTGTTCACCTTTTAAGTTTCTCCTCCACACCTCTGTTAGAACCCAAGACTTTGTGCATGCTGTGATGGCTCTTTACCACTGAACCACACACTCCAGCGCTTCTAAGTTTTGAACTATTACGCCCCTATTCAGTAGTGATGAAAATTAGAAGTCATTCAAAATAAAACATTTTGGAGCTAGGAATATAGCTCAGCAGCAGAGCATCTGCCTGGCAAGTGCAAGGTCGTGAGTAGAATCTCAGTGTAAAAAATATGGGGGCTGAAGAGATAGCTCAGTCGAATAAGTGCTTACCTGGCTAGTGCAGGGCCCTGAGTTCAATCCCCAGCATAAATAAATAAATAAATAAATAAAATGAAATATTCTGCATAAAATAGGGAAATGATTCGGTCACCCCATGAAAAGGGAATGTAAAGGTTCTCTGTGTGGAAACTGGCCAGCTCCCTACCACCACCCCGTGTCTCTTGATCTATTTCTGCTATGGCATGAATGAGCTCCTTAGTGTTTTCCCATCTTTTAGTCTCATTTGACACCATTTTTCTGAGTACTCTTCCAGGTTACTCTTTTGAGATGTTTTGTTTTATCTCTCTGATGTAGACCTGCAGCCACTGTCTCTTCCAGTCTGACCTCAGTACCCATTCTTTTGAGCTCTTTGTAGTCTCCGATATGCTTTGACGGTACATTTATTCTGTGACAGACACCTTCACATTACTAATTGTGGGTTCTTCTATGACCTAACTCCAACAACTCTGCCCAGCCCTGCTTCCTTGTCCAAGGAGGCCATAAGTGATACCTTACCATTATTTTTACTCCTGCACCCCATTCTCCTGCCACCTTTTTTCAGAGAAACCTCTCCTTAGCCCCTTTCCAGTTCACCTTGACTGAACAGTTGGAACCGCTACTGCTTTCTAACATTCCCATCATCTTCATCTATATCTGAAGTGGAATAGACATCCTTCCCCCAGACCAGAGTCTGCCAGCCAAAGGTACTGCATCTGGACAAATTTGTACTCCTTCATAGGATAGTTGGAGACTGTTTCCCTGTTACCTTCTTTTTTTTTTTTTTTTT